CCCTTCAGGGACCTTCAACCTCCCCCCTGAGTCCTCTCAGGACACCGAACCCCCTCAGGGACCCCTCACAACGTCCCCGAGAACCCCCGAACCCCCGCGAAACCCTTCCGAGCCCTCCAGCCTTTCCACCCACAGCCGCGCTCCCCGCAGCCCCCGAGGGGATCCTCAGAGTGTCGCTCTCGCTACAGTCCCCGCCAGATCTTACAGCGAACTGAAGGCCGCGGCGCCATCACCGATTCCCAGCAGCCAACGCGGCGCTCTGCGCGCGCACCACTTTTAGAGAACACCACCGCAGCCAAACAGCGCGCGGCCACGCCCCCGCACGCTCGCCGCGGCGCCTGCGCCTTGCGCGGTGCACTGCGGGAGTTGTAGTCCTTGCGGCGTGTCACAGCGGCCCTTTTGCACATGAACGGATGTAAGACAAGACGGGGAAAAAATAAAGACAAAAGAAAAAAGAAAGAAAAGGAAGAAAAAAAAAGGAAGAAAATAAAGACAGAAAATCTAAAACAAAAATATCCCATCTTCTCCTGCCGCGAGGACTACAACTCCCACAATGCTCCGCGCGGGGGGGGGGGGTTGCGTTGCGGAAGGCGGGCGAAGGCCGTGGCCGCGCGCTGATTGGCTGCGGGGCGGGTCAGTAAAGGCGCTGCGCACGCAGAGCGAGCGCCATGTTTGCTGCCGGGAACCTGTGATGGCGGTGGGGCCTCCTCTTTGTTGTGAGTGCTGGCGGGGGGGGCGGCGAGAGCGGGGTCTGGGGATCCCCTCGGGGGTTGCGGGGAGCGCGGCTGTGAGTGGAAAGGCTGGAGGGCTCGAGAGGGTTTAGCGCGGGGGTTCGAGGGTTCCTGGGGACGTTGTGAGGGGTCCCTGAGGGGGTTCGGTGTCCTGAGAGAACTCAGGGGGGAGGTTGAAGGTCCCTAAAGGGGTTTGGGGGTCTCCGAGTGGGTTTTGGTCTCTGAGGAGATTTGGGGTGTCCCAGGTGGGCTTTGGGGGTCTCTGAGGAGGTTTGGCAGTTCTGTGGGGCTCTGCGAGGACCTTTTCGGCAGTTTTGGGATCTCTAGGGGGTTTAAGGGGTCCCAGACGGTTTTGAGGGTCCCTGAGGAGGGTTGGGGGGGTCCCTGAATGGGCTTGGGGGGTCCCCGGTGGGTTTTTCGGGTCACTGAGAGGGTTTAGGGGGTGCTGGGGAGGGATGAGGTCTCTGAGGGGACTTGAAGGGACCTTGAGGAGGTTTTGATGGGTCGAGGGGGGGGATTTCAGGGGTTTTGAGAGGATCTTGGGGAGTCCCCTAAAGCCCAGCAGTGGAGTGCAGGGCGTCCCCAGCCCCCAGGGGAGGGATCCTAGGGATGCTCCCCAAAATCCAGGGGGGGGAGATGTACCACATCTGGGTAAGTGGTTCCCAGTGCCCCCAGTATATCCCCGTGACCCTCCAGTGACCACCCAATATATCCCAGAGAGCAGCCAGTAACCCCCCATATGGCCCAGTAACCTGCCAGTGTCCCCTAGTAATCCCCAGTTCTCTGCTAGTGCCCCCCAGTGTGCCCCAGTTCACCTCCAGTCCCTCCCAGTGCCCTCCCAGCATCCCTCAGTAAGCCCCCAGTCCCTCCCAGTGCCCTCTTGTTCCCCCCCAGTGTGTCCCAGTATCCCCCAGTAACCCCCCAGTGCCCCAAAAAAGCCCCTCAACTGTCCCCAATGTGTCTCCAGATGCCCTTGGCTTTTCTGTGAGTGTGGGGGGGGACGTTTTTGGGATCAGAGGGTCTGGGGGTGCTCCTGCGGTGAGCTGGAGGGTTGGGGATATCAGGGATGGGGTTTGGGGACAGTGGAACTGGGGGTGTCAGGGGGCGGAATTGGAGCCCTGGGGAGGATGTGGGGACAGTGGAGACACCAGGGGGTTCTCGGGGTGTCAAGGGGGGGAACTGGGGACACCAAGAGAGTCTTGGGAACACCAGGGGGACTTAGGACTCACCTACTCATGGTGGAGCTCCTCCTCTTCCCCCTCAGGCCCCTTTCCCCCCCCCCCAAATGTCCCTTAGCCTCCATTTTCCCTTTAATCCCCTCCCCCTATAGGTTGTTTTGATCCCCCAAAATCCTTTTTATCTCCCCTAAATGCACCCAAAATCCCCCAAACCCCCATCCAACCCCCCCAAATCCCTTCCAACCCCACCCCAAGAGGGATCACCCGGCACCCTGGGACAGGAACACAGTGGGCTGTACTGGGTGGATCAGGTGTCCCATGACAACGTGGCCCAGCTCCAGGAGTAATCTGGGGAGCAGTGAGGAGGTACTGGTCTGTACTAGTTTGTCCTGGTCTGTACCCCCAATCCCCAAAGCCCCTCCCCAGCTCCCCCAGGACCCTCCCAAACTCCAAAGCCCCCCAGGCCCCCCCAGGTCCCTGACTTGGTCCTGCTGTCCCTTGAGCATCTCCAGCTGCTGCAGAACCAGGTATTTCATCAGTAAATGTGCAGCTGACACCAAGCTGGGGGTATCTTGATGTGCTGGAAAGCAGGAGGGCTCTGGAGCACAACTGGTGTGAGGAGAGGCTGAGGGAGCTGGGGTTGTTGAGGCTGGAGAAGAGGAGGCTCAGGGGAGACCTCCTGACTCTCTGCAAGTCCCTGCCAGGAGGTTGTAGCCAGGTGGGGGTGGGGCTCTTGTGCCAGGAAGCAGCAGTAGGACAAGAGGGCTGGGTCTTGAGCTGTGCCAGGGGAGGTTTAGGTTGGATATTAGGAAGGAATTTTTTGCTGAGAGAGTAATCAGGCATTGGAATGGGCTGGGCAGGGAGGGGGTGGAGTCAGCATCCCTGGAGGTGTTGAAGGTGAGAGTGGATGTGGCATCAGTGCCATGGTCTGGGAAGCACAGCGGGGTTGGATGAAGGGTTGCACTTGATGATCTCAGAGGTCTTTTCCAACCTGACTGATTCTGTGATTCTCTGATTCCCATTCCTATGGCAGCACATGGTTGAGGCTCTATCCCCAGGGTGATAGAGATGTCTGTCCATATATATATCTGCAAGGTTAGTCTGTAAGTGTGTGGTGTTAAAAAAGCAGGCTAAGTTCCGGGATGGTTGTAGAAGGAGAAAGAAACCCAGAGGCCAGTGCAAGCAGGCAGCCCTCAGCTTGCACATCATGTCCCCTCCCTGCAGGTTCATGTCCTTGAGCCCAGGCCCTGAGGTGAGCCTGAGAACTGGCGCGGAGGTGAGCCCAGAGCTGTCCCTGAGGTGATGCTGAGAATAAGTGCAAGGCAGAGGTGCTGCTTAAGAAGGAGAGCCCCGTTTTGGGAAAGAGAGGGAAAACTGTCAGTGCCCATCCCCAAGAAGGTGCTGTCTCCATCCCCTGTGTGCTGGGTGAGCTGGGGCTTTGCTGCAGAGCTGCGGGCGCTGATTTGAGCGGCTCCAAGTGCTGAGATGGTGGGCACCCAGGAAAACAAACTCTGCCTGGCCACAGAGCCTGCAAGGAGGAGCAGAGACAGCCCTGGCAGTGTGGGGGGCCAGGTTGTCCCTGTGCCTTCCCCTGCAGACCCTGGCTGTCCCTGCTGGGCCCCTGTCCATCCCTATCAGGTCCCTGCCCATCCTCCCCGGGCTGAGCTCCCTGCAGGAAGTGCCATGGAGCTGAAGCTGCTGCCATACCCCCCCTGCAGCCGCTGCCCCAGCCAAGGGAGCAGCAAAAGCAGGGCCAGGAGCAGAGGCAGCAGCAGGGGAGCACTGGGGGGGCCGGGAAGCTCTTGTGTGGGGCAGGAAAGAGGCGCTGGGCACAAGGCCGGGGCTGTGCTGAGCAGGCCCAGCCCTCACATCCCCCTAGTCAACGCCGGCTGCCTGGGGGGCACGGGAGGGACCCCCAGCCCGTGTGCCCCACACTCAGCTGGCGAAGAGAGAGCCAAGGGACAGGGCCACGGGCAGGGCCACGGGTGAGGGACAGGCAGGGCCATTGCAGGGCTACGGTGAGGGCACAGCCTGTGGCAGCAGAGCTGCCCAGGGCCGGGGGCAGCCGGGGGTGTTGGGACCAGCCAGTGCTGGGGCTGAGCAGAGCACGAGGCCTCTTGCAGACCCCTGGAGCAGCCTCCCACTTGCCAGCCCTGCTCTGGTGGGGTGACACTGTCTCCTCCCAGCAGGGCACTGCCCCAGAAATCTTTTTGGGGGCCTTTTGTGTGTATTCCTGGTTGCTAATTCCTACTGGGGACCTGAGGGAGCCTCTGCAATCCCATCCATGGGGCACAATCTCCTCTCCAGAGCTTGACTCACTGCAGACTTTGCAGGGAAATCTGTGCTGGCAGCCTGAGTATGTCACGACTCCCCACGCTCCCCCCAGGATATTTGGGATGAGTTCCCTCTTCCCGGGCACCCGCCGGATGGGGGGGAGGCGCTTGTTTTCCTGCTGTTCCTGTTCCTGCTCTGCCCCTGTCTCTGCCCTTCCTGCCGCTGTCGGGTGAGCGGAGCGGCCATGATGGGAAAGGGGCAAGAGAAGCGACTGAGGAGCCTGAAATGGGGGAGCAGAGAAGGGGAAGCCTGGACAGTGGGGACCTCTGGGATCTCCGGGACAACAGAGTGGAGAACCTGGAGAGGAGTCATGTCTGGGAATGTGGAACCCCTAAGGTGAGAGTCAGAGGAGAAGGGACCCTTGGGACCCCCAACACTCCCAGGATCCCTAAGTGGGACCCCCAGCATCCCAGACAGGAGAGACCCTCTAAACCCCAGAGGGGAGAGATGAAGAGGTGGAAATTCTGAGAGAGTTTTTTTGGGCTAATCTTCATATTTTGGAGTATTTTTTAGCTGAATTTCAACTATCTACAGTTTGGGGGGTTAAGGGTCTTCTTGCTATTTCTGAAAGGTTTTTTGCCTGAATCTGGGTGGTTTGGGTTTTTCTGGGCTGAATCTTAGTGTTTTGGAGGTTTTTATGGTCACAGGATGCCCGGTGAGTTCTAGAGATGGACTTGGGCAGGAGGAACCCCCAAGCCAACACGCTCAGCCCTTGTTTTCCCCCCATCAGGATTTGTCCTTCCTAAAGCTTGGGCAGATGGAGGAGGAGGCGGCTGTGAGGAAGAGGAAGGTGCCACGGGCCCCCCAGGCAGATGAGGAGGAAGTCAGTGGCCCTTTGGACGGGTGTTGTGCTGGCTCTGGCAGCCGAGCATGGCCCCCGGCTGCAGGACAACCCCGCTGCCACCGTCCTGCCGGGGCCAGAGTTGGGGGGATGTCCTTGGCCTTCCCTGTGGGCCGGAGGCAAATCCCCTCCCTGTCCTTCTTGCTTCCTGCCCCAGGCCCCGAGCTGAGGACGGAGAGCCCGGAGGACAAATCCCCCCGGCAGACCCTGGTGGGAGAGGCTGTTTTGAAGGGCTCCACGGCTCAGGAAGGCAGCGGGGAGGAAAAGGCCCGGAGATCCCCCCACAGGAGGGACTCCAAAGCCAGCCCAGGGTGCTCTGAGGAGGAAAGACCCAGCCTGTGGTGGGAAGGTGGCCAGAGCTTGAGGCGGAGCTGCGACCTGGTGGTCCCTGATCAGCCTCCCAGCGGGGAGAAGCCCTTCAGATGCTTGGAATGTGGGAAGAGCTTCAGGACGAGCACCCACCTGATCCAACACCAGCACATCCACACTGGGGAACGTCCCTACACATGTGGGGATTGTGGGAAGAGTTTCAACCGCAGGTCCACCCTCCAGAACCACCAGCGCATCCACACCGGGGAATGGCCCTACACGTGTGGGGAATGTGGAAAGAGGTTTCAGCGCAGCTCAACTCTCCTCCTGCATGAGCGGATGCACACGGATGAGAGGCCTTTCCGCTGCACTGACTGCGGGAAGGGCTTCAAGCAGAACTCCACCCTCATCAGGCACTGGCACATCCACACCGGGGAGAGGCTCTACAAGTGTGGGAAGTGTGGGAAGAGGTTTCAGCGCAGCTCAACTCTCCTCAGGCATGAGTGGACGCACACGGATGAGAGTCCCTTCCGCTGCACCGACTGCGGGAGGGGCTTCAACCTGAACTCCACCCTCGTCAGGCACCAGCGCATCCACACCGGGGAGACGCCCTACAAGTGTGGGGAGTGTGGGAAGAGCTTCACCCAGAGCGGTAACGTGACCACACACCAACGGACCCACCAATAAGAGAAGCCCTACTAGTGCCCCAACTGCAGGAAGAGCTTCGGCCGCTGCTTCCACCACGAATGAACCCCCTGATGCTGAGGCAACCCCTGAAGTCCAGTGACTGTCAGTCCATCCCTTTCGACCAGAAAGGCCCAGTCCCCTTTCCCAGGGGCAGCTTCTTCCAACAGAACCCTTCTTGGGGGGTGTGTGGAGATTCCTGCCTTGGCTGGGGACCCCCCCAAGGTCAGTCCTGGAGGTTGAGAGCAGAGATTTCCCCATGAGCGTTGGTGTGGGGGAGTTCCATCCATCTCTAATTAAGAATTATTGCTTTTGTGCCAGCTTCAGTAGAATTGCTTCAACAATTACTTTAGTGTAGAGCACTGTCCTATCTTATCCTGTACTCCTGGTAGTTTCAGTGTTTCTATTGTGCAGTAAATGATTCTGATGAAGATCTTTTGCCTGATCATTTGTAACCCTAAATAAATTAACTTCTATCAATAGATCTGATTTGCCTTCATTAAAACCTGGTGGACAAAAGTGGTTCAGTCACAGCTCTGTAATTCCTCTAAACTGAAACTGTTGGTATAAGCCAAGGCTGAGATTGGATCCAGCAGCCCCCAGAACTCCACAGTAAGTTGGGAGCTCAAGGGGCCACCCCCCTTTCCCAACCCCCCTGTGCCCAAAGACCCGCATGGGACCATCCGTCCTGCCAGACCACCTCCCCTTTTCCACGGTTCTCCATGTTCCTTCCAGTTTTTCATGGTCCCCTCAATCCCCAGCACCCCCAGGTTCACTCTTGGGGTCCCAACCACCATTTTTTCCTCCTCTCCCGCCCTTTGCACATAATCCCCCCACTCCCCAGCCCCCTCATGCTAACTTTGGGGATCCCACCCTCCCCTTTCCCCACTCTTCTGACCTCTGCCACCCATTTCCCATCATCCCCCAAACCTCAGAGCCACTCCTGCCTCCACTTTAAGGGGTTCCCACTTCCCTCCCACTCAGTTTGGGGTCCCTATACCCTTTTATCTCCTCTGACCCCCTTTGCACACCGTCCCCCCCTTTCCCACCCCCTGCTCACCCGAGAGCCTCTCGCCCGCAGCCGGGGGGGGCTCCCAGCACCAGCAGTGCCCAGAGAAGTCCCTCCAGAAAAGGGGTTCAGTGGGATCCTGGTTGGGCTTTCAGTGTGTTTGGGGGTCCCTTGGGGAGCTCAGCGGAAGCTTTGGGGGGTCCCAGCACTTTTTGGGGTGAGCTGGTTGTTGTATTAAGGGGCAGATGCCCTCCCAAAGCCCTTCCAGAGCAGGTTGACACAGAGGAACACAGTGGGGTCCCCATTCCTGATCCATCCCGGGGCCGGTTCTGTCCCCCCCCAGATTTAGCTCCCTGTCTTGGGATTCTTCCAAGCCCCTCCCCCACTAACCCCCAATAACCGGGACTGGGGAGAACTGGGAAGCTTTACTGGGATCACTGGGAGCAGCTGGGCGGAGGCAGAGTGACAGCAGGGGAGGGGGGGACACATGACCCCCCCAAAATCCTCGTGGGGATGGGGGGGTCCAGGCTGGACCCGAGGTCCAGGGGAGGGGCTGCGGCCACCGCTGGCTCAGGAGCTCCGTGGGGAGAGAAAAGGGGGTGACACCAGGGTGGGGGGTCTCTGGGGGGGCACAGACGCTCTGGGGGGGACACATGACCCCTGGGACCCCCCTCACCTTCTGGCGCAGGTAGAAGCCGAGCCCCAGTGCCAGGGAGACGAAGCCCAAGAGGAAGCCCCCGGCCCCTCCTTTGGAGCAATTCCTCAGGCTGATGAAGCCCAGCAGGGCCAGGGCCGCCGGCGGTGTCTGATCCCGGCAGGAAGCGGGGAGGGCCCGGCAGTGTCTCATAGAGATAAATCAAGGCAGATCTCTCTCTTTCTTTTACCCCCTGGGCAGTGACCATCAAGAGGTGTCCCTGCTTCACAGGAGAAGCTCCACACACTTCAGGAAGTCTGTGGAAGAATCTGCTCTATGAAAGTTGGCCCTGGGCTTTTATGCTTATCCAGTGATGGATCTCCAGTCACATATTCCCAGGCCAGTGAGCAGCTGATCTGTCAAACTCTGCTTCCAAAAGCAGGATGTGTGTTGGAAGGTTGGGGAACCAGGCTGGGTTTGGCACAATTCAACCCCTTGGCACCAGCAGTAACTCACCACAGAGAGCTTGCATTGCTTGTGTTCTCTGATCAGATTCTTTTCCAGGTAGAACATCCTGCTACAAGGGGTCTGTTAGCACCCGCCCCAGAAAGGGAGGGTAACCCAGGTTGTTAATAAATCCCTTGGGGTGGATTAGAGTGAAACGACACTGAATAATGAGTGTTTGAAAATATATATATATGCAGGGTTTATTTTAGAACACTTTTGTTTCACAGGTAAACAGGTATGTTGCCATTTTGGGTGTTATCATCTCTATCTCTCATCTACAGCAATATGGCATAAAGATAACCTTTAGGGAAAATGCATAAGAGAGAGAAAGGAAAGACAGGATAAGGGTGAGGGAGAGTAAGGGAAAGCAAAGCTGAGAGTGGAATGATGTCTATAGTCACTGCCCACGGGGTCCAGCTATGGAACTTGGTAGTTGCAGCCTCCATGTCTGTGAGTTGAAGTGGTGACCTTGATCCGTTGGGGGTGGGGGAGGGAAGCTCCCACACTCCAAGAAGTTATGAGTTATTATATCCATGGATGGTGTCCCGGGCCATGCCACGAACCTCCAACATCTCCTGGACCTGCGCAGAGTTCCTGTGAGGGGCCTGGGAAAAGGGTTTTTCCTGCCTTTCAAGGTTGGCAGAGGGGGGGATGGGCTTTGATGGGCCATCAGAGGTATAATGCAAAAGTCCTGCAGAAGCCTGCAAGAGTCCCTTGGCAATCCTAGAATGCATAAATCATGAACCGTTTCAGTCTCTGACACCACCCCGTGATTTATGCATTCAATAATTTCTCTTCTTTGGTCGTTCACTGTGAATCTTCTTTGTGGGCGGTGCCTTTCGTACAGTGGACAGAAGGAGAAAAGAGAAAAGGAAGAGATAGCATAAGTCTTTTCCCAGTGCAATGCAATTCCCCAAAAACCCCAAACCTTATAGTAAAATAGTAAGCATATGTGACATAATAGGACCTCAATAGCTACAATCAAATTTCATAACATTATCAAAGTTCCAAACATCAGGATTTAATGCTGACACAAATCTAATTTTCATTAGCCACTGTCTCCATGCCATGAGTAGTATTGTTCTATAATAATGTGTCTGTTAGAGGGGCCAATGTGTCTTGAAATTGGACCTGAAATTACACATCAGTTCTTATGCAAATACATTGAGTTACTTGGGAGTTGGTACAAGGCTTTCTTATATTCTCTTCAGGTCACACTTTCTTTTCTTTTGTCTAGATTTAGTTTTATTTGTTAATATTTTGAGAAGTTTAGCGAAATATAAAATTTGATGCCTTCAGAGACAGAGGGTTAATGCATCTAATACATATTTGTATGATTCCAAATATGCATAAATTCTTGTACCAACTCCCGGGCTAAATTTGGTGGAGTTTCAATTGATTGAGACAGAATTATACATATCTAAAATCTTCTCCCAAGCCAACTTGTTTTTCAAAAAAAAGACAAAATAAACTTGACAAAAATTAAACTAGCAATACGTAAAATGGCTTGTCTTACACAATCTTACCAGTGAGTTGCTGTCATAGTTTGAAATTGGCCCTCCCTCGAGAAGAGGGGGGCTCAGAGGTGATTGGGTGCCAGGGCAGTGTTCCCTGAAGAGCCAATCACCACTCATGTTGTTCGCTTCTGCTCAAAATCATATATTCACAGCCGCCGGAAGCTGTTGCCACTTGGGCTGTTGGTGTCTGCTGCGTGTAGGTGTGGAAGGCCGGAGGGTGGCTGGGCTCCTTCTTCCCCCCCTCCGGGGGGGAGGAGGGGAGCCCTGCAGCCCCCCCAGCTCTGCCTAGGCCAGAGCAGAGTTAGAGGCAGCATTTTGAGTGTGTGCAGTGAGGGAAGAGACTCACAGCACCTGACCTGAGGTAAGAGGAGAGAGGCAGGCTTTTGCAGCCAAACCCTCTCCCCCCTCCTTTTCTACAGCTAAACTGTGGAGGGGAGCTTTCCTTTCCCTCTGCTGGAAAGTGGAGGAGAGGCTCAGCATTGAAGCTGAGCCAAGAGACGGGCCAGAGGAGGAGGCTCAGTTGCCAGGGAGAAGAGTCCCAGACAAGAATTGGAGACGGGCCAAGGGCTCGGGAGTTGCCCTGCGAAGCTGACTGGGGGCAGCCGAAAACTGACTTGGAGGAATGAAGATTCCAACACCTACTGTGATAAGCTGGACTACACTTACAACAGCCTATGAGCCGAGGTATGAGATTGAGAGAGAGAGATCATACAGTAGAGATGACGCAGACTGAGGAGGACGGACTCAAAGCTATTTTGGACTTTGTGAGGAAGGAAGGACTTCCAGAAACAGCTGAAGGTTGGTTAGGGAGTGTTCAGGGGCCTGGAACACTCCCATGAGAGAGACTGCATTACCCAGCAACCTTGAAAGGCTCTTCCTGGACTAAGTTAAAGGGAGGGTCTTAAAAGGACTGAGAGAAGTGTAATAGTATATAGATATAGTTGCTTCTAATTTGTACAGTATATTTATTTGTGTAAATAAATGTATATACTTCCCCCTTCCCCTATGGAAGCCTCTGGCCTGAAAGTTTCTCTTCGGTGGTATTGGGATAAATTTTTGGAGAGGGTGGAGAAGCCTGAAAATTAGATTTTTGGATTTCTAATGTGGCTTAAACTGCCACAGTTGCTCATGATAAAAACACCAATAAGTCAACAATTATTAATAAGCTGATAATAAGCAATTTTGGGAGTAGAGGAGACACAAACACAATGTTTGTGGTAAACTTTTACATATTGCAAAACTACTGAGACAAAAATACACACAGAT